GCATCATAATGATTGTCAAAAAAGGGGCGTGCGATAGACTTGCCTCTACGTGGTACTCAATGGGCAACGTATACTCATTCGGTAGTTGACTTCTGACCTCAAACTTCAATGGCCCTAGAGTATGCCATAATTCACCACTTCCATAGTACTCCCTTGCCTTTTATTTGCCTTTGTTTGTGTCTGTCTGTCTCTTTTACATCTGTGAATCACTCTTCTGTTCCCAACCCCTCGACTTTCTGTTACTTTAATGTTCCTTCCCCCTATGAAGCTCGAAGTCAGCTAAAGGGCTAATGGTAACAATCAAAACGCCTGCCCCATTTGAAATGAATAAATAAATGTTTGCCTAAAAAACATTGACGACTGTCCATTGGCTGTCCGCGCACCAATCCGACTTAGTGGGATTTCACACTATCAGGGCTGAGGGTTGGAAAAGATTATTGCATTCACCCCGAATGAAGTTTTAGCATAAAATTCACATAGTCCGAAACTATCTGTTATTCCGGAACATCTATAACAAACTAGGAGTTGCAGATTGTAAAAGGGCTGTCAGTATGTGACTTAATCCTCCCATGCTATCTCAGCTATCCAACCTTTTAAAAATTAATAAATTATTACTTATTGAAAAATAATTTCACGTGTAGAACCTTCAAGATTTATAGCTAAGCACCCTTTAAGAAGTTATAAATATTGACTTTATTCATATACTTTACCTTTAATCTCCCTAAAGTTAATTTATACATTAAATCTTATAAAAGATTCAACTCTTTTGTCAATTTCTCATGGAAATCGTTGCAAATTGATAGAGTATGTGCACTAAGAAATTTGTTAGTCCAGAATTTGAAGATATTTATTTATTTACTTATTTCAAATAGCAGGCGTTTTGATAGCTATCATTGGCTCTTTAGCTGACTCCGGGCTTCACAGAGATGAAGAGGCAAATCAAAGTGAGAACAAGTAGTGAGGGGGGATAGAAGAATAAGTCACAGATGTAAAAGCGACAGACAGACGCACAGATAGAGAAAAGGGTAGGGTGAATACTGTGGAGGTAATGGAATGACATACAGTGGGGTGATGGTAACTTGAAGTGAGACGTTAACTGCCGGTTTATAGATTTCTTTACCTTATAAGTATACGTTACCCAGTGTACACCACGTGGAGGTAAGTCTATCGCACACCCCGAATTTGAGGATATCGAGTTTGCCGTGGGTAACCCAAAAAGAGAGATTGAGTTCACGATAAGTAGAAATTCATTGCTGAAATAAATCATAGCTATGAATGCAAATTTTTTTGCAGTTTTTCACAGCAGTTGAAGGAGAGGGTCCAAGGAAATGAAGAATAAAATGGCTTAGATGGTAGGAATTTCAATCCACCTTTTACACAGGTCAAGTTTGTAAGTTATGAAGAAGGTGAATAAGGTGAAATTGAAGCATGGGACGAAATCAGACGTCTGAGATGAATCGTCGTTATGATTTTTTAGTGAGCAGCTCTGAAGATTTCAGTACAATTGTGGCAGATAGATAGATATGAAGGGAGGGGAATCTAGTGGAGGCTGGTTAGAATTTGATGGTGATTTGTTTGATTAAACATGATAGGATTCAAGAAATGTGGAACTCATGGTTACAAATTAAGCAATATAATTCTTAAGTCTGCTTTATTCAATAATGCTCAATTGTGAGTTCGGAAAATGTGCAGACGATTGAAGAGGGTATTTGCTTACTACAAATATGTTCACCGTCAACTTCATCATTGAATCTGCTCTCATGTGATTTTTCCCACTTTCAACCAGTTTGTCGATTTAATTCACTTGATATGAACAATATCGTTTGCTATACATCTATCCACTTAGCACTTAGAGAATATTTATTTATTTATTTACTTATTTCAAATGGCAGGCCTTTTAGCTGACTTAGGAATTCACAGATTTAAGGATCATCAAAGTGAAAAAAGTCGAAGGGGGGGGGAACAGAAGAGCGCTTCAAAGATGCCAAAGAGTCAGGTACAAAGGTAAAAAAATGGTGAGTTGAGTACTGTGGAAGAAGTCAAATATGATATACAATGGGGTCATGGTAGTTTGAAGTCAACTGTCGGTTTATAGACATTTATGCCGTATGAGTATTCGTTGTCCAGGGTGCACCACGTGGAGGTAAGTCTATCGCAAAGTTGCCCAGGGTGCACCACGTGGAGGTAAGTCTATCGCACGCTGTCCAGGGTGCACCACGTGGAGGTAAGTCTATCGCACACACCCCTCCGCTTCCAAATAAGATGTTGATAGTGAAGGCATATTTCCAGGGTGCACCACGTGGAGGTAAGTCTATCGCACACCCACTTGGCTCTCCCCTCAAATTTCAACCCTACACGGATGGGCGCACTCAAGAGATATGTGTTTGCCTACCAAAGCATTAAGTAATTCTTCATGATGAAATCCTGTTTGAACTCTTCATTGGCTCATAGTATTGACACTTTTAAAAGTCAGAAGTAATTATTGTTTTCTTTTAACTAAAGTCCTTTTTATTCAAAAATAATTTCCTCTGCAACGAAATTTTATTTGGGTTGTTATTTAACTCACTTCCTTAATTGGGATGGTTCTCAAAAATTACTGAGAGACAAATATCATAACTTCAAATTTAACAAAGATTTACTAGTTTTATGTTTTGCAATTTCACACATGCCTTTCGGACTCTCGATCTTTCTACGTAAGTTCAAGAACAAGACAGTTTGCATCACAAAACAGCTAGCATTTTTCAATCCTTCAAATGACAGATTTTGAGATCAGAGGTAACATAAGCTTTTTAACTAGACTAAATTGAAAACCTATTCAGGGCATGGAGCTCGGCGTCATGTAGAGCAGCCGTTTATGATTAATAATTAATTGACCCACCATTGGCAAGAAATTAAGAAAATATTTCTCGTGTGCAGAACCTGGCGGAACAAGATGGACGGACCACTACTGAAGTATGGCACACGGGTCCTCATTTTCAATTCTGGATGAAAATTTTAACTGGGATCCCAAAAGTATTACGGTAACAACCACTGATCGGAAGAACTCAAGAAATTATCAGTGTTACCTCCACGGTATCAATAAATGCGTTTATTGCTGTCATAGGATCACTGGCTCAAATCTTAGTCAATAGCTAAAGTTTTTTTTGGTTTCTTTGACCACCCTATGACTATTGATTATTGATTTACCTAAACGCAATGCTGTGAGTTCAAGGACGTTGGAGATCGAATGAGATTTCTTGCTCCTGCGTTATACTTCTCACAATTGCAACAAAGTGCTGCTCCCCCTGGAACTCTTGAAAAAAATATTTAAATTATTTATTTATTTATATCAAATGGCAGGCGTTTTGATAGTTATCACAGAGGGGAGAGACATGAGTGAGAAAAATTCAAGAGGGAGGGGACAGAAGAGTGTTTTAAAGGTGTGAAATAGACAGACAGACGCAAAGGCAGAGAAAATGTAGGGTGAGTACTGTAGAAGTGGTTGACTAAGACATACAGTGGGGTCATGGTAGCTTGAAGTCAGAAGTCAACTGCCGGTTTATAGACTCTTTTGCCGTATGTGTATAAGTTGCCCAGGGTGCACCACGTCTTTTGCCGTATGTGTATAAGTTGCCCAGGGTGCATGAAGTGAAGGTAAGTCTATCGCACACCCCTCGATTTACAATTGTAGAATTTACTTTAATATAGATTTATAATTATGCTATAAAATGATGTTGTTGACAACTAGAATAGGAATTAAAAGGCAAGCGCCTTATAATCTATCTGGTCGCCATAAAAAGGCCTGTTTTCAAGAACACAACTTTTAGTAAAAGTGGGAATTTTGCAATAACTCCCAATTTTGATGGGAAAACTTTTTCTGATTTATTAAGAAATCTCCAGGACTACAAACATCTAGCTACTAAAACTAAGTAAACTTGGTACATTGAATTATCATAATTTCCTCTTTATCAATATCAAATTATCGCGTTTGAAATTAAGTCAATGGCAAAAAGAAGCCATTTACTATTCTATGCCTCCCTTTTCCTTCGTCTCGTAGGAACGCCGATTCGGTCAGCGCTTTCTGGTCAACGTGGAATATCCCAGTGCATAGGTGGTGTCGCCGGTATGATACTTTTCATTAATCTTCCAATTAAAATTTCAACGCCGCTTGTTATTTTTGTGCAAACTTAAATGTTTCTGCTTTATTTGAGATGATAAAGCAAATACCCCATGACGGTCAAAAGTAATCTACGCCCTTCGCCGGACTTATTATTTATCGATTACTCGAATATTTTTTCGACTCAGTAAAACAATAGAAGATGAGCCAGTTTCAAATAAAGTTCATGGCTATCCAGGTGAAGGAATGTAATTCTCATGGCTGTTGATTAATTGACTTCACTTTAATAACTAGGCACAGGCAATTTTCAACTCTTCTTTCCTAGTAAATATATTTATTTATATCAAATGGCAGGCTTTATGATAGTTATCATTAGCCCTTTAATTGACATCAGAGATCACAGAGGGGAAGGAACATCAAAGTGAAAAAAAATGTCGAGAGGAGAGGGGGGCCGGAAGAGTGTTTTAAAGATGTAAAAAAGGCAGACATAAAGGTAGATGAAAGGTGAGGTGAGTACTGTAGAAGTGGTCGAATATGACAAACAGTGGGGTCATGATAGCTTGAACTCAGAAATCAATTTCCGGTTAATAGACTTTTTGCCGCATGAGTGTACGTTGCTCAGGGTGTACCACGTGGAGGTAAGTCTATCGCACACCTCTTCTTAGTAAAGCTGTGATGTGCCATTTATCAAAGGCACTATGTTACTAGACTATGAAATACTGACTATCACAGGAGACACTTATCTGCATTCAAAGTAGAAGTGAAGTAGGCGTACTTTCCTTTCAGCATTATAACACACTATAGTTTGAAAATCAAATCCTCAATCTAAATCAAAAACTGTCAGTCTGTCCACTTTTCATACTGACTACTACTTGGTTAGAATGGCTACTCACTCACTCTCTCTCTCTCTATCTTTTCATTTTAGACACATTTACAAACCCCTGCTAATCCGTGGGTACACTCGATTCATGGCCTCCTGCGCTGTCTTTTTTGTGAGCGCCTTCTTTCACGAGTTCACGGTGTCAGTTCCACTGAAGATGCCCCGAATGTGGGCCTTTTTGGGCATGTTGGGTCAACTTCCGTACGCACTTCTAGTTCAGCACTTCTGTCCAAAGGGTGGCAAACTCGGGAACATGGCAATGTGGCTAACACTGATCGTTGGTCAACCTCTGGCGATCTACATGTACTTCCACGATTACTACATTCTTCGTTACCATCAGTAGCTCATCTTGCCTTTCTTCAGCTTGCCTCTTCTCCAACCACCCCCAACCCCCCTCCCTCTCTCATTAGAGCGTGTACAGCATTGAGCCGATCTACTCTCCTATTTTATTTTGATTTTGAGGCTCAATTTTGATATATTTGCACATTGACAAAATTGGTCTCTTAATTTTCCTATCACCAATAATTGTATTTTTCTTTGAGAGATTTGTGGATATTTGAAGTATCCTCTTTTTTAACTTCCTATTTGATTTACCATTGATGATGCTTTTACAACAAGTTATTCTAATCCAAAATCGTGTTTTCTTTATGATATTTGTGATGGATGATTGGGTAATTGACTTATGATTAGTGCGGTCTATAATTCATAAATGGGAAAACACGTTGAATATTTCGCTATCAAACGAAATTTAAGGAGAAAGAACATTTATTTATTCATTTCAAATGGCAGACGTTTTGATAGTCCTCATTAGACTTTTAGCCGACTTCGGGCTTCACAGAGAGGAGGATGAATATCAAAATGCAAAATGTCGAGAGGGGGACAGAATAACGATTCACAGATGTGAAAGAGATAGAGGCAGAGTAAAGGCAATATGAATACTATGGAAGTAGTCGAATATGACATAAAGAAGTCAGAAGTAAACTACTGAATGAGTACACGTTGCCCAGGGTGCCCCACATGGAGGTAGATCTATCGCAAGCCTTACGGAGAAAGAACGTAAAAGCGACCTAAAAGATACATGGGGATGTGAGCAAAGATGAAATAATCTGAAAATAAATGCAACATTTGGAAAGTGGTGCGGTTAGAAAGCATTGTATAAACCGAACTCAAAAACCAAATAAATCAGAACTGTTCACAAGCTTTAGCTCTATCTCCGAGGTTGCTGACCTGTTGCACTTAAAGTTTATTTGACTCCTGCATTAGTGGATTTAGTCTGCTTCCCACAGTACGAATTAGTAATTTTATGCAACAGAAGAAGAACGTCGCAACAATAGACGAATGCTTATATATATGTACATATTCATACCGTTTCAAAATACGAAACCATAGTCAACTATTTGATGTGTTGTAACTAATTGTGAAAACAAAGTTTCGTACCTGTGTTTTGAAGAGATAATGAAAAATAACCGGGGAAATGATATGTAAGTGTTGGTGGTCCCTCTAATTCAAACTCTTTGATATCAAAATTTCTCAAGAAAATTATCACACAAAGACCAACAGAAAGATTTAAATAGTCATAAGACAATTTTCACTGTTCATGTGGGAAGAAGATGATGGTGATAATGAACATGGCTTCCTGTGTCCTTCGGTCTTTGTTTTAAATTGTATATGATCGGATTGAACAGCAGAGGTCAATTTAAACTATTTAAAAGCATTAAAAAGCATCACGCGCTTTAAGCCATTAGCTAGAAATCTTTCCGTGTGGTCTCACGTCTCTTACCACGGCTTTAATTTGAAATTTTCCATTCCACTTACATAAATTTCATTTATTCAAGCATATGCAAACTTTTAAATAGGAAAAATAAACTGAGTATGACAATCGCTATGGCATATGAGTTTCAATTCTGCTCAAACGCTTATTAGATACCCAAGTTAAATCAATATTAATAGCAGAATTATTTATAACAAATGGCAGGCATTTTGGTAGTCTCATTAGCCCTTTAGGTGACTTCAGGCCTCACAGAAAGGAAGAGATATCAATGTGGAAAAAATTTTGAGAGGGGGGGGGGAACAGAAGAGTGTTTTAAAGATGTAATTCGAGAGGGGGGGGGGAACAGAAGAGTGTTTTAAAGATGTAAAAGAGATACAAAAAGGTAGAAAAGGTAGGAAGAGTACTGTGGAAGGGGTCGAATATGGCATACAGTGGGGTGATGGTAGTTAGAATCCAGAAGTCAATTGCCGATTAATAGACTTTTTGCCGTATGAGTATACGTTGCCCAGGGTGCACCACGTGGAGGTAAGTCTATCGCACACCCCATGGCAGAATTATAGTGTTCTGAAATTGATAGCGTGGTGTACATAAGTAATAGGTTTATTCATTTTCATTGAGGAGCAATGTTAAGTACTGAAAGAATTCTTTGTTTTATAAGATATATTCATTTCTTTCCCCATTTCTTAGTGAAATGCGATAATGCATTAAGATTTACTTGGTTAAAAGCAATTTTCAATTGAAAAACAGAGAATTCTTAAAATTTTGAGCCATAGCGAATGCTCAATAGATGTTTAACACATAAATATTCATTTAAAACTAGAGAAACGGCATGAAAAAGTCTATTTGGTCTATTTGGCAAAAGAATGAGAATTGAACAAGGAACTACGTAGAATTGGAAAGTACTTTTACTGGATGGGGAGTAATGCGAAGTTCAAGGATGTCCAACTCGAATACAACTAGTCACTGGCGTCAGGTTTTAAGTAGTTAAAATGCAAGTAAAAGTGCATATTGATCGAATGGATTGTTTCGCATGGAGATTCGGCGGATATGAGTAATCAGAAGAAAAGGAGACTCGATACTTTACAGTTGTCTAATGCTAAGGCTATGAAGAACATTAGACAACCACAGTTTTTAGAGTTCCAGAAAACGGAGTCTAGAACGAAGAAGATCTTTTAAAAGCAACGATTAAAAAATGAGAAGATACGAGCTTGAGGATCAAGCGTCTGCATAATTAACCTTATAGCCGGAGGGCCGTTCTATTCGAGGAAGATGTAAGTGCAAATTGTTTGCGCTATTATCTGAAAAGTGCTCAAGCAAACACAAAGGCATAAAAACGATTGGCTACAAAAATAACGAATCGAACTAATGTTTCGAAAATGAGGATATCAGTAAACTTACCCTGAACGAACGAGTCCCGTTTCAATATGCATAATATTAAGCTAAATTCTCAAATATAAATTACGTGGTGGAGTTTTTATCTAGGTTAAGGGGTGTTTGCACTCAACGATATGCTTTAAGTCTTTGCGAAAGGGACTGAATGATTAATCAGTAACGCCATATGCCATTCTTTCTTTTAAAAGTACCATACCTTTGCAAATAATCAGGCTTGTTTTTACCTCACGCTTCTGCGAATTTCATACCAGTCAATAATTTATTAGTAAACGATCATTATCGTCAGTTGTATAAGGAAATATGCTTATCCTTGCAAAATTTTTCCTTTAATTATAGGTTGATGTTTTAAATCTATTTATTTACCTCAAATGGCAGGCTTTATGATAGTTATCATTAGCCCTTTAGTTGACTTCAGGCTTCACAGAGGGAGAGGGGAACATCAAATCGAAAATAGTCGAGAGGGGGGGGGGAACAGAAGAGTGTTTTAAAGGTGAGGTGAGTACTGTGAAAGTGGTCGAATATGACATACAGTGGGGTCATGGCAGTTTGAAGTCAGAAGTCAACTGCTGGCTAATAGACCTTTTTTCCGTATGAACATACATGCCCAGGGTGCACCACGTGGAGGTAAGTCTATCCCACACACCTGTTTTAAATCTTAAATAAAAATCTTTTCAACAATAATTCAATTATCAAAATCTTTAGTGTATTTTTGGTGTTGCATAAACAAAGATGAAAATAAGGCTGTTTTTAAATGCAATTTCATTTGGACTACCCAAAATATCGCACTCTCTTCTTTGAATGTTCCTTTAATAGTGGTCTATTTACAATATAATAGTTTATCTTGATATCCTCAACGACGAGGTAAGGTAATTTGAATTTATTTCGTATCTGAATAGAATATGGTTCATTACAGGTTGAGGTTGCGTATAAAATTTGGTAAGAAGAAAGACTTAAATGAATTAAATTCTCAAAACAGATTTTCAGCCAATGATTTATGGTTCACTGTGTTCAAGATTTCAGAACGAGACCTGATTTCCACGCTGTAAAATACAATTTAGTGCTTAAATGAGTATGGCGGTCGGTTGGTACTTCACTAAGGAAGAAGATCAAAGTATATTTTTGTGACCTGTGTTCCCGCTATTCTTACGCGTTTCTTTTCGAAACTCAGCGTATAGTTCACAAAGGTCAAAAAGTCGTATAGAAGTGAAAAAGTTTCTATTGATTTAAAATTTGAATTCATCGTTAAAAATTTTGACTGTCCAATTGAAGGTTTATTATTTGGGAAGATTTTCAGCATTTTGGGATAAGTATGATTAAACAAGTTCGGGTGAAAAAATTTGCATGTTCGGCCGTGGATAGCCGTTGGAGAACTGAAGTAAATATGAGAATGGAGAAGAGTATTACATTTCATATAGCTTGACATGTTTGCGGACTGCCACGATGGAACAAGATCAAAAAATTTAAATTTCAAAAAACAGACCGATTCCTTTGCTTATTCTATAATGGCTCAGAGTGTATTGATAAAAATCTGTTGTGTCGTTGATTTTGATGTTTTGGACAGTTTTCTAAACGCTTTGTCCTGACGCATTTCAAGAAGAGTTATTGCAATTAGCCTGTAATTATCACCCGCTTATTCAGTTATAGCCGAAAGAAGCCTAGAGTTGAAAAACTTAAGCGAGTATATGTGTATGTGTATATATTTTACTTTCTACGATCAAAGAAAGTTCTATTTTTTAAAATTCTTTTCTTACAATAATAATATCTAACCATGTGGTCCCTGAAAAGAAGAAAATAGAGTGGTGCAGTTGATGAATGTTGCGGCACTTTGGAGGGACACATCCGGATAAAAATTAAGCCGATGAATAACCAGTTGGTCAGCACATAACTAATAAATCATACTGTGGTTTCAGGGGTACGCGATAGACTTACCACCACGTGGTGCCCCCTGGACAACGTTTACTCACACAGCAAAGAAAGTCTACAAATCGGTAATTGTCAGCAAACTACCATGACTACACTGTATGTCATATTCGACCACTATCACAGTACTCACCTTACGTTTTTTCTCTACCTCTGTATCTGTGTCTCTTTTATCTGTAAATAGCTCTTCTGTTCCTCCGTAGAATTTCTGTGACTTAGATCTTCTTTCCTTCAGTGAAGTCAACTAAAGAGTTAAGGATAACTATCATAAGCACTGTCATTAGATATAAATACCGTAGTTTCACAAATAGATATTCTAGAAAAGGACTTTTCAACACTTTGAGATTTACATTTGCTTTGCTTCTTTTTCATTAATTTCGGTGGGGTAATATTCTCCACTTAAAAGGTAATATATCACTTGATGTGTGTCCAATTTCTAAGTATTATAATTTACTGAGCTGAATAATGCCATTTTTAAAAAATTAAGTAACTGAAATCATCTTTTTAATAAAACCAATTTACTTCCGGACTCCTTTTATGAACAAAGCTATTCTAAATGTTGTTTTTTAACATTGTATAAAAAGGTATGAAATCAATTAATTTAAAATTATCATTAATAATAACTTAATGAATTTTCAAATTCTGGCTACTGCTTTCGGGAGCTCATTCCATCTGCTAGTAACCGACAATGTTTACCGCTAGTAAATAAATACCGGCTTATTATTAATCGTTATTTCTAATGCTCCTATATAACGTTATTTGATTAAGTAGGTCTAAATACTAAAATTGGCAAGGAGTAACAAAGTTGCCCCCCCCCATGTTCAAAATAAGAATGGGTATTTTCTTTGATTGTTATTTTCATAGGATATGCTTGAGTTTTTCTTCTAAAACTTGCAATCTTGACCGGCAAGTGGTCGGTTACAACTCCGTATATCACCTTAAAATGTGAATCCGAAATCCAATAGCAATTGGTCACTGTGGCATTAAAGGCAATGAGCTTGCTGACGCACTTGCTAAGAAGGGGACAACGATTTTGCAATGCATGGACCGACTGATGTCTTTCCACACAATGAAGGCCTTAATCAGGAGAGAATTCAAGACCTCATGGTGCATCAAACTTAAAGCTCGAACAAAGGAGAAACAGTGGACAATGGCACTCTCCGACATACCCGACTGGCCAAGAATCGAAGCCGTTGCTGAGTTTAGACTACGCACCGGATACTATTGCCTGGCGAAGCACCTTCACAGGTTAGGAGTATGCACTCAACCAACATGCCTCCTATGTAATCTACAGGAGGAAACGGAGAAGACTCACCTGATTTGGCGTCTAGCCCTAAGGACAACGACGGAAACCCAGAGATACTAGGAAGCCAGAAGACAGCTATTGAGCTGCTATTAGTTAACTGCTATATATGTACCCCCCCACCCATAGGGAAAGCTGAAGTCAACTAAGGGGCTAATGATAAATATCATAAAGCCTCCAATTTGAAATAATAATAATAACCTCAAAATATGCATCCGAAATCTAATAGCAATTGTTCAAAAGATACTAAGTGGGTTATCTTAGGGATAATCATTTACCATATAGTCGCATAAGAAACATTCAACTTCTTCTAAAGTTATATGTTGACCTCATTCATAATCAATCTTATTTATTATCTTACTTTACATATTAGTCCATATTTTCACTATAGTGCTGCACATTATCCCGTGCTAGACCCATTCCTCTGTCCGTATGCTTTTGACTAGTGTACCCCTTTAACCTTGATCACATTGATTTTACTCTCGCAATTTGGTCGTTCATTTATTGATGTATCGATTTTACCATTAATGTGATAAAAGAAAGGCGTTTCACATTCTAAAGCAATTAAATAATAATAATAATAAAGAGCCAGAAGTGCTATTTTATTTCAAATGTAAGGATAAAATTCTGAATAACTAAGAGGACAGATAATTGGTTCATCATTGAATTGTATTCTCGAAATTGGAGACATTTGGAAGGGGCAAATTCGATTCGATTCAGGCGTTAAATTTTTTTCTTTTGAAAAGCACTAGGTGTAATCAAATTTGTGGGTTTCTATTCAAGTTGGTAGCAACCTAAAAAGTAAAAAGAACATACTTCTTTTCACTTATTTTAGTAACAAGCAGATGATAAGTAGTATCAATTGCCTATTATAATCAAAATTACTTCATTATTTACTCTTTAGTCTAAAGCAGATTATTGTTGCTGTTTTCCATTTCAAAAATTCTAAGTAGGTTGAAATTGAGTGCACTTTGAGTTCATAAAATTACTACTAACCTTCGGTAACATATTAGCGTCTAGGTTATAATAAGGCGCAGAATTAGGCCCACCCAGTTCATTCTTTCGCACAATCTGAAAATAAATAAAATTTAATAAAAACTTTTAGTGCTTGTGTTTTCATAATCATGCATTAAGTTCATTTGTTTGAAAATAGCAATTTCAATTGTGTAGAAAACCGACCTACATAATTAGGTAATACTAACAGGTAGTGAAAATCATATTCTGAAATACTAAATCCACATTGGATAAGAAATCGAATTCAAAGATTAAACGATGTAAGACAAACTTAATGTCTTGGCATCATTCCTAGGATTTGTTCGAAAACTTCTCAATTATTCTCCATTGGGCTTACTCTCACAAGACTTCAATTACTTTCCAACGATGAATTTTTATACAAATATACTTTATTGTGGGCTATTATTTAATAATATGCAGTTTGGAAAGTGGCTTACAAAATCAGGTGGTGTATTCCTGCGTCGTGGAGTACTTGGCTCATAGCTTCCTTGTCCATAAAACTGATCCCTTCCGCCCCATTGGTCTTCTTCTTCTTCGGATTCTCCAATCTCTCGTAGCCGCTCCTCCTCCGTCTCTCCTCCATTCTCACTGAAGTAGTCCCAAATGACCTCGTAAGAGCCTTCGGCTTGCGAAACTCCGCCATTAACTTCTCTCTCGCTCGTTTCAACATTCTGCCTATTTTTGCCAAACTCTCTTAACGGACGACTTGTAGGTTTATCCAAGCCGCCTGGTCGAATACGTGGAGGCCAATGAATAGTGGGTTTTGGACCGAGTTTAGGTCCATTTTGTGGACGGTTTCGAATAGGCGATGTTGGCGAATGGGACATACGATTAGGATGTGGTGGAGGCGGTGGAGGTGGTGGTGGTGGATTTGGACGAAAAGCATTAAAATTGACAGATTCCGGTTCTTCTTCTAATTAAATAAGAAGAGATGAATAATTTCACTTAGTCAAGAAGCTAACCCATATACTGAATTCTGCTTATGAAACTTATATGTTGGAAGTTCGTGTACTTTGAATGATAAGAGAATGGTGAAGTGTTATTTCATAGCAAAATATGCATGATATTAATATTATTATTTAGAAAATGTGAAGTAAATTGGACATTTAAATCTCATCCGACTCTCACGAGTGGTTTTTTTTTATTGAAAACGCATTAGTACGTAGTCTTGCAAAAAATATTGCTTAAAAGCATAGGAAAATGACCTTGACCGAGAAATCTATTTCATAAATTTCGCACTGAGCTCTAACAAGTAGTCAACCTTTGAGGTAGTCAAAAATATGTTCAATAGAATTCGAAATAACAGTGCTAATACTTCACACCAAACTTTTAAAGAACATAAGTTGTTTGATAGTTCATAGTTAATAGTTACGTGAACACGAATCCAAAACTTTGTAAATGAGAGGTGCTCCAGCTCACCTGCGCTTGAATTGTTGATTTCATCAAGTTTTCTTTACCTCACTTTCATGGGAATTTAAAAGTATCTAGGAAATATGGTGGTATTCAGATGCGAACTCAAGCATATCCCCCTGACTACGAGAGTTGTTATCTTGAAAAGCTTTTAGATCAAGAACTTTTAATGACTAGTTACAACTAAGTAGAATGTTTTCCAAATACCTCAATACATGAAAGATCATATGCAAAGACTTAATTTGGCACGTACTAAGTATGAGATAGAAATAAGAAGGTATCACTAACAGTGTTATGAATTATTTACTTAAACTAATAAGTAGTTATTACAAAACATTTCATACCATTTCTCTGTGACCAGCTAGGATAATCTCCATTTTGCTGCGTTGGTTCTGGTATAGGAATGCCTGAAATAGGAAGGAACATTTGTTTTAAATCACTTTGAAAATAAATTGAAAATTGGCTTGGTGCCAATTAAAAGCATAGGGAAAAAGTTTCTTCCAGTATTGGCATTTTCGTTAAGGGGACCAAACTTCTTATTTAGTAAATGTCAAAAATAAATAAACTCAAGAGTACCTTTTCTATTGCCGAAGAGTCCTTGTGAGTGAAGCGGCTGCTGTGGTGGGGGCGATGGCTGGATAGCTGTCCGCAAAGGTGAACTTCCTCTAAAGGGACTAGGAGTACTGAAATTACGCAGTGCTGGACGTAGTTGCTGTTGATCCTTGACCTGATAAAAAACCTCCAATTATCTTCTTGAGTTAAAAATGTTATGATTAACACCTAAGTGATGAATACGTCGAAGATAAGAGATTGAAGAAGATGATGATGAACAAATTATTACATTTCTTGATGGCATTTCGCCAGTTCTTCAAGACTGTCGAAACGGACAATGATCAATCCTATCCGGTGTGAATTTGAACGCTTATTGATGAAGTTAACAGTGATTGAAGTAAAATGAGCTCTGCTATTCTAACATTGCTGTAAAGAATTTCATATACTACTTAGGTTTCAGGAGAATACAAATTCGGGAGACTAAACATTCAGAAAAAAGTGGCAGGCTTTGAACAGCACGAATATGAACCCACTTAGAAGCCAAGTAAACAAATCACGAAGCATAAACGAATTATACCCCGAAAATTAGTATAAGGCATGAATTTCGGAATTCTAACTTCAATAGCATTCATTCTTTGCAGGACCATCCCTATGTATCGCAACTCCATTAGCGAAACTCTAAAATTGTAATTTCAAGTGAAAGTCATCGAAAATTCTAAATAAAGTCTACCCCCCAATGTGCCAAAGTGACTTATTCTCTCCCAAACACAACCTTGAAAATTGAAAAGCCTGTTTATGGAAATTTCATTTAAGGAACCAAGGATCAGAGGAGCCAATCACAAAGCCTTTATTAAATTTAAACGTCTTTTAGCGTTTAATGAGCCTCCAGTTCTTGGGGTGGGGGGGGGGGGGGGGG